TAGAAATGCTATAAGGAATCAAGTATAAATAGATTAATAGTGTATTAAAGGGAAAATAAGGCTAGAATATGTTAAGATAATTATAGGATAGAAAACAGAGGAAGATGGAAAGGAATTGCTGAAATAATTAATAGAAGTGGAAAACAAAAAGGGAGGTGTGAGGAGGTCGCGGAAATAAGGGAATGAAAGATAAGACATTGAAATTGTTTTGTGTTTGAAATGGTTTGTGTTTTGCTTTGTCAGTTTTATGTGTTTTTTTGTTCTTTTTTTGTCTTTCTGCTTTGTTGTGTTTAAATGGTTGAAAATTAATAAATATTATTTAAAAAAAAAAATACCTTCCCATACCTTCTCATCAGAGTTACAAGGGTAAATCCAGGGTACCAAATGCAACAAGAGGTGGTCCTCCACTGCAGTGCGAACCCTGTAGTCCAGTAGTAAAGGGGGTTCTGTCCAATTACTCTCTGCTGATGTGTCCCCTACACATCACCCCTGTGGGTGGTCTCCTTGGGAGTAGAGTTTGGCAACTTTGGCCTGCCTCCCCGGGCACTAAACTACTGATAATATGGTTCAGATGGTCTAAGCAACTGTGGGAAAATGACCAGCCCTTGACTGTCCAGCAACCAGCATAACCCAGAAATCTGAATACAGTAGTTTAAATCAAAGGAGTATATGCAGTATAGGGAAAGAAAGAGTGAATATCTATATCAAAATTGATATAAACACTACCAGAATGGAACTATTCATACACTAATCCAAAGTAACACTGCAAAACTTAACTCTCATTGGTTACCTCTGATGTTGGCAGCTTCAGGCATCAGATGCAGGTTGAGGGATCAAGAGGGACAAAGGACTGTTTGGCAACAGTCATCTTTTCAAGAGTTTACAGCCCGAGCCTGGGCCTTGAAAGTGCTTCTGTGGCAGCACCAGCAACACCCCATACTAAGGCCCTGCAGACAAGCAGCAGTAAACCATGGTTTGCTTATATGCTTGGAAGCTCAGTTTCCACAAAACAAAGTTTGCTGTGGTGTCTCAAATCAGGCACCGGTCTCTGAGTGCTGAAACATATGAGAAGAAAATTTGTTGATCCCCCATATATTGAAGTGCAAACTGAAAAAGAAGCCACGCAGAAGTAAAGTACTCATTGGAACTCTGCCTATTGCGGCTCTGCATACAGGAGACTTTTCAGGGGAAATGTGCATGCAGTTTAACACACATACATGAGATAATCCTTGAGCTGAAGTTGGGGACCAGCCAGCAATATGTGAATTAAGAGTAGGGATGGCTTGGCAAGAAACCATTGTGTAGAAGCAGCTCATAAACTCCTTGACAGCTTTAGCCCCCTCTGCACAACCTCCCAGAGGGGGTGGTGGAAAAACGGTCTCATACCTCACCACAAACCAATTCCTTAGGTATGACATGAGCTCCCACAGTCTACTGGCAGCTCGGCAGGAGAGCCAGACTCAGCATTCCTCTCTGGACTGGAGAAAAGTGAACGGGTCATTTCCTAAGATTTTACAGTTGTGAGATACTCAGGGGAGGTGGGGCGGAGGCTCTGGGAGAATGCAGCCCTCAAGTGACAACAGTGACACAAGAACTCTGTTAGACCCAAATAATAATCACAAATCAGCGAGCCAGCTTCTGAGTTTCACAGGACTATCCCTCAGAGCTCAGAGGGAAAGAAGCAAGAGGTGTGGAGGGGAAACACTGCTGGTAGAGTCATGGTCAAAATCTCATCTTGCAACATGGTGCTATCTAAAGGTTAACAAATTTATTGCATGGTGGCACAAGCCTTCATGGACTTAGGGGCAGGGCTTTTTTTCAACCAGAACTCTCAGGTGGGCACCATTGCTATTCTAAGAGAATGAGGGAGGTGTTCATGTTGAGTTCCGGTACCTCTTTTTCTAGGAAAAACAGTACTGCAGGGCATGTGTCTACAAAAGCGAATGCCATAATAACTTGGTTAGAATTTAATGTGCCACGAGACTCTTTGATTATTTACTTACTTACTGCAAGAGACCAAGATGGCTACCCTTCTGGAAAGCCTTAAGATGAAAATTCATGAAACTCTTAACTAGATTAGACTGTAACCACAGGCTGCACCAGATTATACTGGGACACAGAAGCAACGCCAAGATGCTTCTGAAATATAAATGCCTGCCTTTCTCTGCATCCATCTCTGGGACTGATCTGAACTCCCAGGTCTCTTGTATGGCAGAGAACGGAAGTGAAGGAAAGCATTATCTGTTTATCAGTATTTATGCCCCACCTTTCCACTGTAAACAATGCTCAGGAGTAGTTCAGAGGAACAAAACCCACTCTGACATTACTATTTTTGACAAAACAAACAATACCGTTTAAAGGGATGCTAACCTTTTTACTGGTAGCTGCAAGGCAAGTATGCAAAGCATTAGAAGCATAAACAGGGCCATCTTAAGCATACCCGGCGCCGTGGTGCAAAGATCCCTCCGGCGGCGCCATCCCTCGCAACTCCAAAGCAAGGGAGGGGGTGGTGGAAAGTGTCCTCTGCCTCCCCCGGCGTGGTGGCGGCAATGAAGCAGGAAAACGTGCTGGCGGACATGCTCTCCGGCGTCAGGGCGCCTGAGAAGGCAGCCCAGGAAGCCTGTGCGCCAACTTTCACCGGGAAGCAGGAGGAGGACAATGACCGGGAGCAGGGCCGTCTTTAGCAGATGCAGAGCCTAAGCCTCTGCGGGGATCGCTCTCCTCCTGTGGAGGCTTGGGAAGAAAGCTGCACACCATATAGTTGGCGGGGCGCAGCTGGCGGGCGTGCAGGGAAAGGGGAGACTGCCGGCAAAGCCGCGCAGCTCCCCCACTCGCTAGGGTGCCCCTGAGAGGCCAGCACCCTGGCACAACGAACCACTAAGACCAATGAGAAAGACGGCTCTGAGCATAAGGATGGATGGATGGATGATACAATAATGGTAAAAACTATGCCTGGAATAATGCACCAGTTGAGAAGTTGACCAAGTAAGTCTAAACACTGAGATGGCCAGACTATGAGGATGAATTATTCTCTCAAGTGTTTCTTGTTGAAAAGTCAAATGCCATCACACAGTTAAATTAGAGCCACTCCACCAAGATGTCAGAGTGGGTGGAAGATTCTGGATAGATAAAAGTACAGCACATAGTTAAACTATGGAACTCACTCCAGTAGAAGGCAGTGATAGGCACCAACCCAGATGGCTTTAAAAGAGGATTAGACAAATTTTGAGGGCTATTGATAGCTACTAGCCATGATGGCTGTGCCATACATCCACAGCTGGAGATAGCAATGCTTCTGAATACCAGTTGATGGAAATCACAGGAGGAAATAAGTGTTCTTCTGCTTGAACCTGCTTGTGGATTTCCCACAGTTAACAACTGTGAGAATAGGCTACTGGACTGGATGGGCCATTGGCGTGATCCAGCAAGCTCTTTTTATGTTCTTGATGTTAGAATGCAAGAAGACAAAGCCATTACCCATGGATGCAGTCAGTTTGAATATGGTTAACAGTCATTAGGACACGATGCTAAATTTAAAAGCTTGTTTTCATCCCCTGTGGATTTTCAGAGTGCGTCATTCCTTCATTATTTGACAAACTGTTCCCCACCCCCAGCACACACTCCTCTGCTAAGTATTATTGTCTCCATCCTTCTGGTTGGACTGTCTGTGTTCTCTCTAGCATTGGGCTATGGGTTCACTTAGACTGGGCTTATTCCCAAGAGGTTTCCACCCACATCCATATGTCCTTCTTGCAACTGTTTATGTCAATCTCATCCACACTTTGATAGCTAGAGATTAAGAGTCAATTGCATGTTTTAGGTTGGGCCACATTCACAAGTGACGTGAAGAACACCACCATTTACAGTGGGATGTGACACTTAGGAATGTGAATATTAATATGAAACAGGAAGCAGAAGAAAAGTCATTTTAAAACTGAACATGCATTGTAACCAATGTCGGTTTTGCATTCAGCATATACATACTGGAAATTCAAAGTAATTTAAGCAGTGCTTCTGAAAATGGGCTGCTTTTTACACTCTCTGGAAAGAGCAGTCTAATGGGGGAACTGGTAGCTCATTTAGCACAGTCTCAAGAACTGACATGGTACATACTAGATCACTGAAGATTTCGGAAGTTGCTAAATCACCTCCCAATGCAATCCTTGGAGGACTCTTATGAGTGAAAAACATGACACAAAGTAATGTGCAAAATGGCATTGTGAGTTTCTTCTGGGCTCAGACTGGGCTGGTAACTTACAGACATCAAGGTGCTAGGGCGACATTTTCACTAGAGATACAATTAACACTTTTTAACTGTGCAATGCACCACTTTCGAACATGGGACAAAATGTGAAAAAGAGCAATTTTAAAACAAGCCTGTTTAGATGACATTGGCTTTATTTTCAAAATCGAGGTGTGACAGGTGCCAAAACATCACCCTCATGGTAGTGCCCAAGCCACTAAACACAATGCTTAATTTTAATGGTCACAGTGCAATGTACAAGCTCTCAAGAGTTGCACGAAACTAGTCCGCAGGCCAAATCTTTGGGTTTTAAACGACAGAAAAGAAATGAAAAGTGAGGGAGAATATGTTTTTGAACAGAGGCGAAAAAAGGGCTTGGTTCAAACGGCCAAATTCATGTTGCCCGTATCGCATCTGTGGGATGAAACCCACATTGAGCCTGCACTGAAATGCCTGTGTCCGAGAGAAGGAAGAGGCCAAGAAGCCAGTTTCCAGACTCTGGCAAACGTTGCTCGGAGTCCCCATGGAAGCGGGCGAGGAGGAGGAAGACGCAGGGCGGGAATTGGGGTAGGACTAGCCTCTGGGGTCTCTCCAGCAACTTAGGCCCAGCTTGAGCTCGCCCTCTCTGAGCGGGCCCGCCTTTTGTCTCCAATTCCATGAGGGAAGGGGGGAGAAGGAGGAGGAGGAGGAGCCTTGGAAGTAACTTTGGGCTCCCCAAACTACCTTTGGTGGTCAGCTGGGCGTGACGTCAGGGGCCGCCGCCGTGCCGCGCAAGGTTGTGCCCACATGTGACCAGCTTAAACTAGTTCTGAAGACACAAAGGGAAAGGCAAGGCGAGATAAGGAGCCAGATAGCGGGGCGGGCGGTGGAGCAGGGCCAGACGAGCGGCACGGCAAGCAGGAGGAGCAGCCTTCGTCACGACAGAGCGACCCAGGCGCCGGCAACGAGACCCGCAGCATCCATCCAGGCAAGTCACGCACCGGGCGCGCTCTTCTTGCGCGCCAAACTTCGCCGCCGCCGCCGGCGGGAAAGGGGAGGCCGGCGCCCAAAGGGGCGCTAGGCGGAGGAAGGTGCGCTCCGCAGAGCTGTGCCCGAGGGCGGGGACGGAGACGGGGGGACCCCGAGCGACTCGTGTACCTTCGTGAGGAAAGCCTCCGTCCCCAGAAAGAGGGGTCCTGGCTGCGCTTGAGTTTGCTTTTCCCAGCCCCATAAAGCGCCCATGTTTGGAGTTCCCCGGGAACTTTTGCTCTAGCAGCCCCGAGCGAAGATCATCCCAGTCCAGTGTAAACGCTGTAACGCACTTTGGTCACCGACACGGCGGGCGGGCGGGAGGGTGACGAGGCTCCATCCCAAATGAAAGGGGTCCTTCCCCACCCCACCCCCCGGCGCTCCCGGAGCCTCTCCAGCTTTTAAAGAAAGGGGCCGAGATGATGCTCAGGTTGAGGCGCGAAGTCACCTTTTCCGAGAGGGGAAAGCGGGAAAGAGGAGCGGCGGGATAGCCGTTCAGAGCTGATCTCTTTCGCCGGTTGTTTCCTGCCTGGCCAGATAACATTGATGGTGAAGGGACGCGCCGGATCGGTTGGTTGAAACTTTTTTGCCCCAGGATCTTTGGGAGTCCGGCAAGAGTTTGGATGCTGAGACGCCACGCTCGGGCGTGCTGGCACTGCACGGGGAACCAACCTGTATCTTTCTAGTTCCCCCAGAAAAACCCGGTGTGCTGCAGGGTGAAGAGAAAGGGTGGGAAGACATCTCTGGGTCTGGGTCTGGGTCTGCCGCTGTGTGCCAGATGCATATCTTGAGTCCTGTGTTTCCCGACCTTTAGTTACCAGGGAGTGTTGTTTTATTTGTGTTTTGAGCACTAAGTTCATTATACTATCTGGCACCACATATACAAGATCACACCCATGCTCTCCATAGTAAGCAATTTGAAAGATCAGTCTGCATACATATAGTGTGTGCGCACATATGTTTGCGAGCATACATCGAAAGTGATCGCAATGGAACAACCAGGGCTTAAAGAGCGCTAAGTTACTTAAGTGAGCTAGAGCCCGTACCCTTATTATCTTTCGTAAGCTTTTTTGTGCCCAGACATCTCTGTAGAAGTGCATGTAGCTCACTTTGCGTCTGCCACCCTCTAATCTTTGAGCTAATATTGCTAGTGACTGGAGATGTGTGTTTGTGACTTGGGTATTCCTGATCCCTGTAAGGGTCTGCAAAAGATGCCCTTGAGACCCCACCCAGTTCCAAGGCAATTTTGGTTGAGGATTTTTTTTTATTTTTTTGAGGGGAAACAGAAGAGTGGGGTCTCTATTCAGTCAGTCCCACAGTGGTATGCTTTATGATTATGCACGGAGGGAGAATTTCAATGGCTGCTGGTCCTTTCTCCTGCTGCAATTGAGACAGTGCTGTGCATTCCTCCTTTGGTTCTGTTGTTGCTGGAGTTGACCTTCGCTCAGCACGGAACTCCCTGAGCCAGGCAGGAGCCAGGCATTTTGGAGCACAAGAATGCATCTCATGCAAAATGTGAGCACCTCTATTGAAAAAGCCCCTCCACTTGGATCTGCTCCAGCTTGGAGAAGAATGAGAGAAGGTTGTTGTCGTCTGTCTGCCATTCCACCCCCCACCGCCACCCCATGGCTGGTTCCAGGAAGGAAGTGTCCCAGTGAAACTAGGACACCTCGTTTCACTCTGAACACACACACACTCAAACTGTGTTTCTTTTTATGAGAGGGGAAGTGGGTGGTCAAGTCTTTAAAAACTCCTTTCACTAGCTGTTGCAGCCATGGTTCAGAACCCTTCGTGAAGGGGGCTTCCCTCAGAGCTCAGCGTGTTTCCTCTACCAAGCCTTGATCCATGCTTCTTTGAAGTGGGTCTTTTTCCAGCCTTCTTATAGATAGATGTAACAGCAGAGATGCAAGGCTGCATCCTGCTCTTCTGATACTCCTGTTCTGGGATGGTCTCCACACACCCAAAGCCTGAAAACTCTTGGCAACAAGGAGGTACTGAGGTAATTCCTGTTTCTCCCCCCTCCCCTCAATTACTCTTCAGGATCTTGGGCTATGGCCAGAATGCACAGAGCTGTGCACCTTTAAAAACCTTCTGAAACTAATTCTACAGTTGGAATTCAGACCAGTTTGTCATATATTTAACAACTTTAGATTCACTGTTCTGTTTGCAAGAATGCTGTTTTTTCCTTCCCATGTTCTTGGAAATTTTTTAGTAGCTGTAGTAGGTGTTTAGGAGGGTGTTCAAGAACACATTTTAGGTCCTGTTTTTCATTTCAATCTGCAGTCCTAATGAGTTGGTGGGGTTGGGGGAAGTGGTCACTTTATGAAAGCCAAGAATCTTGGAATTCTGCAGAATTTGAAACTGGATTTTAAGCCATGATAGTGTTGAGACCTCTGACTGTGTCTCTAAATGCTCTCCTACCCTTGAGTTTCTTGATGATGATGATGCCAATTTACCTCTGCATCTCCACATGCCATTACGGTTTGTTAAAATTTGATCCGTTGTGCTTGGTGATGATAAACCTATAGGGAAGACCTCAGTCAGAAAAGCAACATTTCTTCCATGCTGTCAGGGTAGCGTTCCTGTTATTTTGCTGGCTGAAAGATCATGTTAAGAGTAGGAAATGAGGGAGAGGTTTGCATTCAAAGCTGAACTTAACCAAGTCCATCCTTTCTTGAAACAATACACAAACAGAAACACTTCCCTGAATTTTGCAGGGCAGTTCTCCAGCCAAGAAAGGTGTAAAGAAAATGCATGTACTGGGTAAACTAACACACGCGTAAAAATGTATACTATTAGGGGAAGTTGCTTTGGGAAAAAATGTATTAGAGCAAAACTGCATACAAAAATGGATTTATTAGGAGAAATTCACACTAAAATACTGGTGAATTTCCATGAGAATTAAAAAAGAAGATAGAAAATTGCTACAGAAATGTAGAGAATTGAATTTAAGATTGGAAAAATGAGAAACAGGGAGAACCGAAATTGACAGATCCATCCATCCCTAGTCAGGAGCCCCTGTGTCTGCCTTTCAGCCATTTACCAACCATTCCTGAGACTAGTTATGCATAGCCCTCTATGGGTTCACTCCACCTTTTAGAAAATAAAGCCTCCTTATGTACCCTAGCCTCTTTAGCTAATCACCACTTTTGTTAATTTATTTTTACATTTATATCCTACCTTTCCCCCAGTGAGTTCAAGCTGGCATACGTGATTCTCCCTGTCCCCCATTTTATCCTCACAACCCCCCATGAGGTAGGTTAGACTGGGTGGTCCCTGGTCACTCAAGTGAGCATCATGGCTGTGTGGGGGGTTGAAGCCAGGTCTTCCAAGTCCAGCAATATAACCACTACACCTCTTTCTTTGGTTTCAGTGCTTGAAATGCCATATACCCAAAAGACTGCACCACATATTTTGATTTCATTGTGTGACCACCCTGTTTAAAGTTGTGGTGGTTTCATTGGGGGCTTCCCAGTGGGATAATTTTGTCTTGTTTTTCAAGTGCCAGGTGTGCTGATTCAGGGCATCCAAGGCTAGCAAGCCTTGGGAATAGTGGGAATCCATCTTGCTGGATGGATGCTAGGTAGGGCAGCCCAGGTAAATGGAAACATTTGCAATGTTTGGTGCTTCTTCCTTGACAATTCAGTCTTGTCCTATTGGCTTCAGTGGGCCTTGCTCCCAGGTCAGCTTTGTCCTCTTTCCAGACGGATGCTCAATCAGTGGGGAAGGAATCTCGGTGGGATGCAGCCTTATACAGAGATTTTGCTTGTGCCATGTATACCCCAGGAATCATTTGCAATGGTGAGGAAGAGGAGGGGGCCTGAGAATAGAAGGTGGTAGGAGAGGAGGCAGGGAAGGAAGGATCTGAAACCTGCCAGGACACAGCCTGAGGGAAAGGAGGTGGGAGAGAGTGGAAGAATCATGCATATTGTTGAAGCTGCATTTGGCTGTAGGAAATGGAAATCTGAGGGGACTGTTGAGGCCAACTTTTCCTGCATTTTTATAAGATGGAGCAAGGCAAGTCCAAAGATGCAGAAACACAAAGGACCCAAGAGGAAGAGGTCATGGTAAAACAGGTCGGAGAGGAGAGGGCTGGGAGGAGAAGGCATATGGTAGCTCTCGAGACAGAGCAGGAAGCAAACACCAGAAAGAAGGTGGGTGGTCAGGGCACCTTAGCAATTCAGAATGGCTGCAGCTGCTGTTAAATGCCCTATGTTTTAATTTAATGGATCTCTCTTATTTGAAGTTCTTTGTCCCTTCAGACAAACAAAAGAAATCATACGTCCCTTGTTTTGGAGCCCATGGTTTTCAAAGTGGCCAGTGTTTAAGAAATTTTGTTCTGGCAGCATCTCTGTATGCAGGGGAAGAAGTTAAATGTGAGTCCTGCATAGTGATGAAAGCGAACTTCGTGTCTCTCTCTCAAACTTCCATGTAATCTGGCCTGGTTCTCTAAACTCACTGAGGAATGTTGGTGAAATAGTTCAAAAGTTTTGTGAATCTGTTTATTCCCACCTAGTTTCGGAGTGAGTTAACACGATAAATCCAAACATTTTCTGAATTATATGCCACCGCTATCTTATTGTGTGCAAGCGGTGCCTCTCTTTTTCTTAAAATATTCCTGCCTTCCTCAACTTGTTAGGTGATGAGCTAATAATGATGCTTGCCACATAAGCATGTACATCTGCAGTGCATCATTAAGAAAATCTGTTTCTTACTATGGAGGGAACTTTGGGTCACATCCATACCATACATTTAAAGCACTATTGTACCACTTTAAGAGTCATGGCTCCCCCCCCCCCCCCCGGATGTCAATTCTGCCTTTGAAATCCCAGTAATGTCCAGGAAAATCTGTATGTATGGCAGCCCTAGTTAAGGGTGCTGGGGACTATACCTTTGTGAGGGGTCTCCTTAACAGCCTTAATGAACTACCATTCCTAGAATTTTTTGGGGAAGACATGACTCTTAAAGTGGTACAAGAGTGCTTTCAATGTGTGGTGTGGGTGTGACTCTGATGTGAAGGAAATTTGGAGCCAAAGAAGTAAGGGAAAACTGGAGTGTGGGTCACTTGCAATGTAGTGGATCATGTGCTAGTTTTGAGGGTTGAAAGCAACTATTCAAGTTCCTTCTGGGCCATGAAGCTTAGCCTACCATATGGTGAGATCCTGCACATGCCCACTCAAAAGTAAGGCCTGTTGTGTTCAATGGGGTGTATTCTCAGGAAAGGGTACAGGATTGCAGGTGGCTGCCAAGATGACAAATAAGCGTTTTGCAGTTTATATAGTTTTTCATATAGATTGTTATGTGCCCTGTGGCTGACTTGGCGTAGTGAATGAGGAGAACTCTGTAGGAAGGTTTGAGAAAGAAGCTCTGTGGGATTCACTCGCCGCCCCCAGGGTCAGGTATTGCATATGGTGGCTCTGCTAACACCTTTCTAATCCTTTGCTCCATTGTCCTTCCTTCAGCATTTATGCAGCAGCAGAACTAGGAATGATTTGAAATTAGTTTTGCATAATAAGCCGGTACTAGGAAGAGAGAAGCAGGGATTATTATCCCCCAAAGTGGGAACAGCCCATCCTGAGAGATTCTGTATGTAAGACAGGTGAGCAGTGCTTATATTCTGGAACGAGTGCAGATGCCTTTGAGGACAAAGAAAGCAAACCAGAACAGCTGGATGGATGGGGACTTGACAGTTTTTCCTGTTCTGACAGAGATTTGGACGGTTCCTGTAAAAAGCACGCCTCTTCCAGCAATGTGTTCTGTGACTGAGGAGAGGGCTGTGTATTCTTCCCATCCTTTATGGAGATCCCTGCAGAGACAATATACAAGTTGCTTGACTGCAGTAAGCACTAAAACTCAGAGGCAGGGGAGAGCTGCTGATTACCATCCCACTTATTTGAGGAGACAGGGCACCTGGAGAAAACAGATAAGTAGATTGGCTCTAATAGGGGTGTGAGCAGCAAGACACTGCTGTTTGACACTTTGAGCCCAGTTCTGTGTTTGCTTAGAAGTAAGTCCCACTGATTGAATGGGACTTACTTCCAAGTAAATAGGTGAGCTATAAAGCGGTAGAGAATCTTGTATTGCCACTGTGAAGGAGCTCAGTGCGTGCGGAATGACTCATCTGGTGGAGAGGACGGAGTTCAGCATCTAAATCTCCAGGTGCCGACAACCGGGTTAGAAGTGACACCTGGAACAGATCTTGCTTGGCAGAGAAGGGAGGCCAGGGAAAGTGAAAGGGCCCCTCGTTATTGTGTTTGGCACCTGCGACCCCATTCCAGCATCACCCAGAGGTTTTCCATGGACTTGGTCCAGGGTTAGACAAATCCTTGGCAATCCTGACTGTTGCCAAAGTATGTCTAAATTTTCAGCTGCAGCTCAGCATGTGCAGCCTGTGAGGAGAAAGCGTTAGCAGAAATGAGGTATGCTCTAAGACCTGGATACAGTAAAAGTTAAACGCGACAGGCATATAATGAATTGTTGAGGATCCAAGGAGAGCAGCTCACCAAAAATATCAAGGGTTCTGCAGGGGAGGGGGGACTGCCCCAAATATTAGTTTCATCTTAACAATAAATTTCTCACTTGGGATTGTTTAAACTGTGTCTCTCCCTGCCCCCCATGCAATAGAATATCTGATAGTCGGTGTACTCCCTTCCTTTAATTTCTCGTTCTGTATCACCGTTCGACTTGTAAAGCTTTGTCCCACAAGGGAATAGAGTACATTCTTGAAATGATCAGCAAGAGGGATGAAGCAGAGAAGAAGCATTGAAATAAACGTTTCAATTTTGGGAGAGGAAGCTTAGTAAACGCACAGAAGAAGAAAACTGAAAAGGAAGAAATAAGCTGATTTCTTCTTCTGGTTTTTGCTTTCTCTTCACTTCAGGTGAATTCACAGTAGCCACCGGCCCATCTCTTACCTTAAGCTCATTTGAAAGGTAAAGGACCTAATGCTTGCACTCTGCTGAGGGGCAGCAAGACAACTGTTCCCACAATTACCAGCAAACAGGACGGTGATAGTGATGTGGGATGCAGAACTAAGCACAGCCTCCCAAAATTAGCCTTCAGCAGATGGCGGAGCACAAAACAAGTCCTGACTTCTAAGAATGTTATTGAATTACACAGATCACTTGCGTGGCTGGTTTGCTGTTTGTTTACTGAGCAAACTAGTGTCTTCCTCTCTCTCCTTGCCCACTGTACACCTGTCCTATTAGAGTCTGCATTCAAGGACTTGCATATAACTATTCTGTTTACTTTTAAAAAATGGACTCTGCAACAAGGTGAGCAAATTCCCGTGCTTCTAGCCCTAGTTATGGCTACTCTTAGTTCTACTGGACCACATCACTTCCACAGCCAAACGTGCTCAGGTTCAGGTGGGTTTGTCTTGCCACATATTTCTCCCCCATCCAGCATACATGCTAAATGTGTTCCTTGCGTTTGCTCTTAATTTAATTGTTACATTTTAACGGAGGAGGGTATGCCCTCCCACTGCATGTTTGGGAGATTGGCCATGTTCCTGACAGCAGTCACTGCAGAGAAGGCAGATTGCTGAAGCTGGAGAGAACAGCAGACTGCAGGCTGATGCCAAGAAGGGAAGGGCAGAGAATCCATGCCACAGGACAGAATAAGTGCATGGAGCATATTTAAACAAGAACAATAGTTTTCTGCTGGATTTTGAATTGGTCAAAGGAGGAAACTGAGGATGATAATTATCTATGTTTCTTTTTTCTTTTTGCATGAAGAAAATGACAATTAGAGCTCCAGGAGACCAAGATGATAGAACTGCAATAGGCCAGTCCAGAGGAGATGAGGCTCTTACAGTGGAATTTGTAGCACACAAGAGCCAGGCAGCATTAGAAAGAGGAATAAAAGCAAAATGAAGAACAAAATGGATATTGTAGTGATGCTTTTGCACTTAACCAAATAGGCCAGGTTCAGACATTTGTCCCAGGGTTCATATATCATAGTTTACTAGCAGCCCTGTGCCCTCATGTTGATTGGGAATGCTAAGAAGAAGAAGAAAACTAGTACAATTTTGTAATGGGTAATTTTAAAAATGCACATTTTTGAAAGGTTCAGTTCTCCATCTTGATTCAAAATGGAATCCAGTTTTATGCAAGAAAGACTTGCCCCTCAGTCTCAGGAACCATGACATAAAATTTGGTTAAGAGATGTTAAGAAATGTCCAAAGGCACAGCAAACAGAAAAAGTAACATTCCAAAATATATAGTAGAAGATGAAGCCATGAACAAGCACTGTGGCCATGTACTCCTCCCTTGCCCCTCATTTATATGCTGGTTTCAGTGTGGAGATCTTGCTTGCATTTAAGTCAGAGTTCTCCATAACATCCAAACAGATGAGGATAAGCCAGGATCTGATCCGATTTAAAATGCCAGCTCAAGACAGAAGTGCACTGAGTAAACTTACATTAATGTGTATTGCCGTTGCTTCCATATTTAGGCTATTGTTTCCCTACCTTCTTGCAACTAGTTTCAGTCATTACAGATATCATCAGCTGCAGGGAAAGAAACAAGGAATCCCACAGAGATCTTGTGGGCTGAGTTGGCCTTCAGGCCATTCCTGGTTGCTGTGCAGCACTTTTCCACAGTGAAAATTATTCAGATAACATTAATAACAAGAAGAAGTTGAAGATGATGTCCTGGAGGAATAATTCATGTTCACTGTTTGGCGGGGAGGGACATTCAGCCTGGATTGATTTGTTACCTTTGCAGTCTGTTTGCTGCTCTGTGCAGCCAGGTCTCCTGCCATGCCAGCAGCTTCTGAAGCAGGAAGATGCATCAAGGATTGGCAGAACATGGGGTTACTTCTGACATCACTGCCAGCATTTCTTGGAGGCCACAGGGCTATCAGAAAGTTGAACAACATCTGCCCAGCCCACATTGTGTAGCAGTTAAGGGTGTTCGATTTGGATTGAAGAACCCAGGCACTGATCCCCACAAAGCCAAAATATAAATATAACAAAAAAATTAAATTCCTGCTTGGCTAAAACTTACCATAACTTGACCAAGTGGAAGCAGCAACCAGATTGCAAACCCTAATGTGAGAATTGGTCCAGAATGAAAGTGTCCCCCCTGCAAAATGAACACAATACCTAGGGTATTATTCATGTTAGACCCTTGCTATTATTCTTTCCAAAATAACTTAAGCTTTACAGTAGCTGGTCACAGAAGAGATGGTTTAGGTTTCAACTTGCTAGGTATCTGTTCTTGAGCCTAACAGAAGCCATTCTTTGCCTACTTAACTTCCACAAATGGCTCAGACTGCTATGACCCACATCTGGCAAATCTTGTTGTCAGATATTCCAGTCATGGAAGAGCTTGGATCTGGACCACTCTTGGTCCTGGGCTCCTGCCCTCTTGGGCTCTGCCTTGACAGGCCCCTGTCTCCCCTGAGGGGAGTTCCCCTGCTGAAGGGGGCAGGGGAAGTGGCCTTCGTCCCTTAGGCGTTGCCTTCAGCTCCCCAGCCTGTGTAATTCTCTGTGACAGTTCAATTCAGAATGAATCCGGCCGCTTCACAGCAACAGACATACAAAAGGTGAGCCCAGTGGAGCCTGAATAATGAAGAGAGCTGCTTTCTGCAGTGGGCTGCCTGGGGGACACTGTGGGGGAAGGGGCAAAAATGCTGACCTAGTGTTTCTTTTCCCTCGGTCCTCCGGGCTATTTCTTTCCCCTACACTGAGCACGGCATGTTTCATCCCAGTCTGTGATGCAATCGGTTCCTCTGAACTGCTCTGGCAGTGGGGGCAGAGGCAAAGGACTGTGTCTGATACACTTCCAAGTTGCCTCATCCAAAGCACCATTTATAACCTGTTTTTCTCCTTCCCCCACTTTTTTCCCCTTCACGGGCATATTGGAAGGAGGATTAAATATCCCACAAGTGCATATAATGGAAGACGTGCTAGTTAGATCCCCCAGCACAACAAAGATACTGTGAAGTTGTTGCATGTCTGCAAAGTCAATGCAAAACCACCGCATTGCAAAAGCCCCGGATCCAGCATCTGCCAGAAGCCTTAACTAAACAGTTAAGCTAAGCTTCCAGTCCTCATGTCCAGGTCCCTGGGGCCTTAGCTTCAGCCTAGAGTGCTACCACTCACCTTTAGTATATAGAACTATGAAAATTCCGCTGCAGCACCATGCAACTTTGAATTCATGTATCAGTCATGGTATTGAGAACCACGTTTTATTTTTATGTATCTTTTTAAAGATTCTAAGCTTTAGGCTCTGTAGACAGTGTTGACAACTCGGAAGCCAGGAAATGGCTGATCAGGATTTTCATTGGTTCAAGAATAGAGCTTTGGTACCGTGTGTGGCCTGTTTTGTGCCGATGGAAATTAGAATAAAATATGCAAAACAAGCATAAACATGTGCATCATGTATGCAAATTGCAGAATTCAGAGGTGTAAGGGGGGATAATTTTGGTGTTTTGCGTGTGGCTCAATCTTCTCTGTTCCAAGTTAATTTATGAGTTTTGTGATGAAAATACTGTGGGGGAGAGTAGGAGGATCTATATTTTAAACCCAGGTGGAAGTTGTGCCATCCACTTATTCTTTGGGGGTCCCTGCAACCATTTCAGGACTTGCAGAACTGCAGCTGAAATCAGCTGTGCTTGTTGGCAGTGCAGTACCTCAGCATTCCAGTACTTGATCAAATAAAGGCCAAAATTACCAAAATCCAGTGGCAAACGAAAGAGCTCCCCCTCTGTGGTATAGTCATACTCACAGTTTGTCATCCTGGTGCCATTGAAAAGCGTTGCACATACAGAAAAGGATGCTCGAGCAAATTCTGTAGAACTAAGCAGTCCCTTTGCTTTCTGGTAAATCCCCACTTTCCTCCATCACCACTCTTTGGGTGGGAGCACCAGGTGAATGAGTTTGCTGGATCTACCTTTATTTATTATTTCATTGGTCAGCCTTACTGCTGGACTCTTCCAGGTGAGTAAGATTTGCATTCGTGCCCTGTTACCTGTTCCCAGGTATTGGAAAAATAAAATAATCTGAGCTACATGTCTTTCCTCCAATGTTCTCATTAGACTCTTTGTTGAAACAAAATAGTGCTGCTATTGTTTTAAGAAGAGAATCGCAAGGCTGGCCACTAGTTCACTCTAGCTAGGCCATAGATGAATGGTGCTTCACCAAACTGCCTGTTGAATACTCCGCTACTCTCAACATCTGTCCTGGAGGCAGTTCAGATCTCTTGGTGTACTGCACTGAGTCTGTGGGCAAAAACACATCCTATCTTACATGCTGCAATGCTACAGTGCACACACTTCCCTGCTTCTTCTCTACACCTGCAGTTTCCCTTCTTTATGGTGCGCACATACACACACACACGGGCACACTCTTGCTTGTGCTCTCTCGCTGAGCCTTGTTTCCATAGATAGACCTTTTGTGGGGATATGGTAATAGGCTGACATTAAGAGAGCCAGCAGGGGGAGCAGCCTGCCTTCTAAAGCTCCACATGAGATCTAATTGTGTTGGGCTTTTATTTTTAATCTTCTGTTTTAGTTCTCAAAAACTCTGCCTGTTGGGGGCTTCTTTTCCCACCCTGGATTCTTTTTGAGCTGGATAAAGATTCCATGGCAGCTGAGATCCCCCCAACCTTGGGGAGCTTTGGCATTGGCGAGGTAGCCTGCTGAGCACCAGATAAAAGAGGCAGTGGGAAATGAGGGAAAATGTGGGAGCATTTGAGGGGAGTGGGGAGCAGGGCCTCACTATTGCCAGCCCGCAGAAGCCTTCTGGCTTCCGAAAGGCAGCAGCAGCATAAATCCCTTTGGCAGGTTTGCTTTTTCCCAGTTTCCACTTCGTTGCTCTAGATTTGCAGTCTAGGAAAGGGGGGTGTCAGAGACCAGGGTGGGGTAGAAAGTTTGCAATGCTCCTCAGATTATTTATTTGCTTATTAAAAGGGGGGAAAGACCCTGAGTCTTGTTCAGTTTCTGCCATAGGCCTACAAGATTCAATAGGTACAGGAGAATAACGTCATTTTGTTTTACCTTGTGGGCCAAAGGCTCATTGTGAGGGGAAGTGCCCATTGACTTGCACCACTGTGGGAATGGCGTGTTTGTGTCTCAGTAAGTGCAGGCCTTGTGCGGGCTTGCCAAGTGGCACAACACACCAAAAAAGGGAAGCACAACAGAGCAAGAAAAGACTCCCAGCAATGGCAGGGAAGAAATGCTCTCAAAGGCATTATATTAATCCCAGTGGGTCGTCTCCAGTGCTAGTCCTGCTCAGAGTAGCCCATTGAAATTAATGGACCTCTTAGTTAACCAGGTCTATTAATTTCAGTGGGTCTACTCTCGGTGTGTTTCAGGCAAATAACTCTTTGTCAGATCACTGTTTGTATCTCCTTGCTCCAAACTGAGTCACTCCTGCAGTGCCAGTTATTAAAGAAAGTACCATTGCTAACAGCCCCTCAGAAAGAGAGCTGTTTGCTCAAAATATGTTGAGAATCATACAGCCAGTACTGATAACTGAGTCCTGAACCTTCTGGGTTTCAGTTTCCGTACTCTTAATGTTGCCCTTGCAGAAGTCTGCAGGGAGAAGGCGGATGGGGACAAAACTAGAATTGCATTTCTCTTCCTGTCATTGGCTCTGGCGCCACCTACTGTTGGCCTCCCTGCCTTCCACCCTATCAGTTCCATTGAGCACCAGCCATCACTGCAGGGCTTTGATGCACAAGTTGATTCCTTATCCTTTCGTTCTACAGAATGCAGGTCCGTGGACTCTATTTGCTTTTGGTTCTGATCCTTCTGGCTGCATCTTCTGAGGCTGGCAAGAATAAGAAAGGTGAGCTGACTAGAAGAGTTCTGGTTAGCAAGTGGGATGAGACCCTGTCTGCAGCCTGATGTTCTGAGGGCTTGCTTGCAGGGCATGGGCAGGGGCTGCATTTAATGCCTTACAGCGGCCTGGGGGAAAAGGAGAAGCTGTTTGTTGTGCATTATAATGATTGCTGGCTCCCCTTTGACCACTGCAGAAAAGGTGAAGAAAAATGGCTCGGATTGCGAGGAATGGCGCTGGGGTCCCTGCGTCCCCAACAGCAAAGACTGTGGTGTTGGCTTCCGCGAGGGAACTTGTAATGAAGAGACCAAGAAACTCAAGTGCAAGATCCCCTGCAACTGGAAGAAGGAATTTGGAGGTGAGTGTGTGTCTTGCTCTGAGAGAGAGAAGGGTGATACTTAGGGAATGACACACCAGTCTTAAATGGGACCTTGGGAAGCCAGCCAGCCCACCGGCTTAACAAATTCTGGAGAAATTGTGGTTCTTTGCCTGGAACGATTGCAGGCAGTTAGCGATGAGTGTGCATGCAGTCTTGGGGGTCATGTGCACACTGTATGCTAACTTACTGCTGACGTTAATGCAGTGTCGGTTTTTGCTGTTTACATTGAGTTTGCAATTGATAATGTGCTCGTTCTGCATCCAGCACTTCTGCATTAGAAGCACATCCTGTGGCTTCTGGAGGCAACTGGGCTTTCCGTAGAGATACTTGACTGCGGTTTCTGGCAGCTGTCATTCATTTGAAGCAGACTTCCCCAACCTGATGCGCTCCAGATGTTGTTGGACTGCAACTCCCTTCATCCCTGACCATTGACTGTGCTGGCTAGGGCTGATGAGAGTTGAAGTCCACAACATCTGGAGGCAGACGGTTGGGGAAGACTGTCCTTCTGCTTAGGAGCATAGATGAGGTTGCCTTATACCAAGTTGGACTATCAGTCCCGCAAGCTCAGTTTTGCCTAGATGGCTTATCCAGCCTGCAAGTGCCAGGGATTGAACCTGGAATCTTCTGGGTGCAAAGCACACACTCTATCTTTCTACCTTACTCCTTATCTGAGAGAGAATATCTATAGTGGTTGAAGGACAGAGAGATTCTGGTAGGGGGTCTTGGATCCAAAGGGAAACAAGATGGTGGTGGCAGTATGGGGCAGAGTCCCTTTTATCTGGGGCCCACTGAAAAGGTTGCCATCACCAAGAGATAATGTACAGCTTCCACGTCACTTGCCTTCTGTTGAGATACCAAATTTTCTGTCCATACTCAGTCCAATACTCTGAGCAACTCCTGATATACCAGCATTTTCCAACACCTCTCAGGGCAGTGGGATCAAGGAGGATCCAGGAGTACAGAGGACAGTAGATTCCAGAAAATAACTTGGATCTGAGCAGAGTATTAAGTGGTTTGAATGCTGACTGGAAGCTTTCTACACTTTTAAGCCACACCTCACACATTCCCTTTGTTTTGCTATTCCCACTTCCTAGTTACTTCCATGCTTATGTATCTGCTTCTTCTCTATTTAGGTTAGTGAGGAATTAGGTTGTGGCCAGCTGGAGGAGAGGTTTGGCAGTCAGTGCCAGCTTTGCAGCTTCCTGTTTCCCTCCACTGTGGATTCCTCCCCTTTGTTTGCTTGCTATTTACAGCAGATAGGAAAATATACAAGAGGCATGGTTATGCTGCATTGGTGTTTATCCACGTACCAGGCCCTTGAAAACTACCTGTTTGTTTGGTGTTGTATTTTAAAGAGTCAGGCCTACAAACCACAAAGTTCCTAGTTCCATGACAATGTTGTGCAGCAGTTGCTGCCAATCCATTTACCCTGATCCAGCTAGCATTTAGTCCCAGTAACATTTAGATCTGCTAATTGTTGAGCCACATGGACATGATTCATAGTCATTTGGTGGATAGCCGTGGTGAACGCTCTTTGGGATCTTAGGTGTCCCACGGACAGGACCATTGCTTGTTTGCTATCACAGATCTAATGGCTCTTAACTTCTCTCCTAGCTGATTGCAAGTATAAGTTTGAGAGCTGGGGTGGTTGTGACTCGGCAACAGGTCTGAAGTCCCGTTCGGGCACTCTGAAGAAGGCCCTCTACAATGCCGAGTGCCAGGAAACTATACAAGTGACCAAGCCCTGCTCTCCTAAGGCCAAGTCAAAATCCAAAGGTGAGTCCCAGCTCTTAGGCTCCCTTTTCCTGCCTTAGATAATTTGCCATGCATTACTCTTGATGATCCAGGAAGGATATAACTCCTGTGTTAGGGGTGGCAAATTAGGAAACATGCAGTTTTCTATGCAATTGCCATATTGCTCGAAAACACACTGGCAACACAGTATTGCTTGGAGAGCTACAGCTGGCTCATGAGCTGAGTGTTTGTCTCACTGGTGTCTTTATACCTGCTGACCTTTTACAAGAAAACACCCGTGATAGTTCACAAGCACCCAGGTAATGACAAGATTGCAATTATATGGTGCTTCAGGTGCTGAGAGGAATCTAAAGCCCACAGTGTCTGTCCCCTAGGGGTGCATTTGTGTGAATGGGGAGAAGCTGGAGGCTGGAGTCAATAAATGGTAGAATCTTTCCACCTGCAAGGCAAGTGCAAGTGTCCAGACAGGAGGAACCCAAAAAGCGACAAGACTGGATGTGCTCCAGGTGCACAGCTTGTATGCTAATGCAAGTCCAGGAGACTAGTGGTCAACTGGCGTGTTAAGAGTGCTAGTAAATGCCAGACCAGCACAGAAATAAATGAGAATGTGGGGGGGCCCTGTATGTGGTGTGTTGCACTAATGATCTTCCATTTGTTTCAAGCAGCCAGAAAAGGAAAGGGGAAGGACTAGAACAATGGATGCAGCCCCACTGGCATCAGGGCATGGTGCCTGAACCCTCTTGGACACACACCACTTGGAGCTCCAGCGTGGTCCCTCCCAGCTTGGCAGCCCTTTTGCCACATCCCACCCCCTTCTGCCTCCACAACCTTGCCCTTCACTGACATACCGTTTCTAATCACTAGTTTCCTAGGGAGCAAGCCCACCCTGTCGTGAAGAAAGCGCCCTTTTGCCTTCCCTGTAACGTCTCCTTTCTACCATGCTTCCCCTCCTCCCGATCTGTGCATCTCGGTGCTCTTTGCTCTGGTTTGTTTCCCCGGAATTCCGCACGATGTGTTTTGAGATGGGGCTGGGCTCTGCTAAGTTGTGGATAGAGTTCTTCACCTTTGGGCTCCTTGGCTGAAGCCATATGGCCCTTTGGCGCATCTCTCTCTCTCTCTCTTGCAAGCTTGGCAGCAAGGCCTGTGGTTTCCTCGTCCCCCATGCAACTTCCCATAGGCAAAAGTCCAAATTAAGCTAGCCAAGGAAACTGATTTGGAGAGTGTAATGGAGGGAGGGGAAAGGGGGGAGTTAATGAGAAGGGGGGAGCCCCATGCCTGCCTTACATTCCTCATAAGGTGACTGTGTGCAGTAGGACTTACTTTGGTGTCGCTTTGAGCCCCTCAGACTTACAAGGGGCTAAATTAGTGCCTGCTGCCCAGGGTGCTGTGTGTGAATGTCTGTTTCCGCCTCCCCCCTCCAATATATATAAATATATATATCCAGTACAGGCTTGTTCATAAGCAGACCATCTGGAAGGTGTGTGTGTTTTCCATGAGCTGTGTTTGACCTTTTGTCAACAAACCACCTTTTGCCTTTCCTTTGCCACCCAAGAATCTCCCTAGAGTTCTGAGCATTATCTTTTTCAGTCACAATGTCCTCATTCCTTCTGTCCCTTCTTGTCTCTATATTTGCTGGGACACTGTGGCCTTGTCCTCCTTTTACTGGTGCTGGGTAAGCCCTCTTTGCTTTTTACAATGCCCCCTCTTTTCCAATAAAAGTCTTTTTACAAAAAAAAAAGGGAAAGTCCTCTTTTTTGCGGGGGTGGGGTGGGGTGGGTTGACGCCACATTTCTGTGTCAAAGAGCTGCAAGCCCATGTGGTAGAGAAGTGCTGGCTGTGTAGGAGGATCGCAGCTAGCTAGGCCGCGCTGGGCCCAGTGCCACCATGGGAAGGAGCACAACAACGCTGTGAGCTGTCACTGGAGGAAGGCCGCCACTTCGAGCTTGACAACGCTTAGTAGGCCAGGAAAAATCTGACAGACATTGACTGCAGGGCTGGGGTAAGGAGCTTGCTGTCCATTCAGATTTCCCTGCTGTTGTGTTTTTTTTAGGCCGATGGAGTGAAACAAACTTGACGTTGGGGATATTTAAAACAACCGCTTTGGGCAAGGTGAGAATAAATACAGGGTTTCTCTGCCAAGGAGAGCTCGAGTGATATGGCGATGAGCTCCAGGTACCTGTCAGCTTTCCGGAGCCAAATGGTCTGTCACAGGAAAAGTCTCTGTTGAGTTTCCTGCCTCTCGGCTGGTAAAGAAGGGCTCGGACTAAGACCGAGGACAGTTAAACAAAGCAGGATGAGGCAACAGGGTCTTTCCTCTTAGACTGGATTGTAGGTGTTATGGAGAGTGAATTTCCCCTGCAGTAGGAGGGGGGAACCTCTGGTCCACTGGATCCCCTGCTGCCGTTTCCTCCAAGGCCCTACACCCTCCTTGGCCCATCTGCCCTATTGTATCCCCATTTTCTTCACTGCTTGGTTTTGTTGTTGTTTTTTTTGGCCAATGGGCTGAGCAGCACTGGGCTGAGGATGGGGGATCTCACACAAAGCGAAGTTTCAATCAGGGCAACCTTCTCCCCACCCAACCTCATATTCGGCTGACTGGTGAGAAACAGTCCAAGCAGTGGGGTGGGGCTTCAGAGCATCTTGCCGTCAAACTGCCCATGAGAGATTTGTGTGAATATGGTGTGGAAATGGCTTTAACCCTGTCCACTGCTGCCAGAACTTTGTCCCTTAATTGCCCAAACTCTTACATGATTTTTATCCAGTCCAACAATTAAGAAGGGGAGGAATTCCACGCTGCACTTGTCTGATCGTTCTGTCAGCGCAAGCATTTTGGCTTGCTAAATGAAACAGTCCCTCCTTTCCTGTTCCTGCATGCTATTCCCATCCTCGCCCAAGCCAATTTCAGGGTATGGGGCAGCTAGGAGATTGGTGGGGGAGAGCCTTGTGGTGTGCAAACCATAGCCCTTAGGCAGGGCTTCCACTGACGGGACTCATTCGTTCCATCGCGCCCTCAGTGTTTATTCTTAACTGGGCTTCTTACAGAAGGCAATGCAGTCTTGCCTGCACCAACTTAAGAATACCTTGTAGGTAACAAGGGAAGGAAGCATTCCTAAACTGGAGGAGAGTAGATTCTTTCAGGCATTGATTGTACCTCATATGTCCGAGATGGAATGTGTGAGCAGGCAGACTAATGGTATTTTATTTTATTTGTCAGCTAGTAAGTAACTTGTGCACATATTTGCATGGCTGTCACAATGGACCCTAAATCCCACAGCAGAAGCTAACCTTGCATCTTAAACCAAGTCAAGTGTTACTGGGTGATTTCTCATCCCATCTGTCCTGGACAAGGAAAGCAAAGAACCTCCATTTGGTGTTGAGTAAATAGGGATGCGGGTGGCGCTGTAGGTTAAACCACAGAGCCTAGGACTTGCCAATCAGAAGGTTGGCGGTTCGAATCCCCGCGACAGGGTGAGCTCCCGTTGCTCGGTCCCAGCTCCTGCCAACCTAGCAGTTCGAAAGCACGTCAAAGTGCAAATAGATAAATAGGTACCGCTCCGGCGGGAAGGTAAACGGCGTTTCCGTGCACTGCTCTGGTTCACCAGTAGTGGCTTAGTCATGCTGGCCATGCTGGCTCCCTTGGCCAATAAAGCGAGATGAGTGCCGCAACCCCAGAATCGGTCACGACTGGACCTAATGGTCAGGGGTCTCTTTACCTACATGGGCACCAAACAAGTCATCAACCCAATATTTTACCAGTGTGGAGAAATGTCTTCAGTGTCTTTCACGGATGATCACTAGTCCCAAAGTTCATTTTAAGAAATATAGTTTACATTTTATTTCAGAGAGAGCTGGTGCTTCATTATGAAATGATTCATGTGCAGAAGCACTGAGCATATATATTTTATTTTTAACAAGCAGCAAACAACAGCAAGATTTCCCTTTCATATAGAATTCTTGTATGAAAATCATTGGAACTTTCACTGGTTTGTGGTTGTGTTGTCTGGCAGCGGCCCTCCATTTTGTGGGCCTGTTTAATTATTTGAAGGCTGCTTACTTCCCTTACTTCCAGGACAACTTCCTTGTTTTTTGCTTTGTTTAAAGTAGTCACACCTATTCCTCATGCTCTCCATGCCACAAAGCTGCTACTTTCATTATGTCAGGAACCAGAGATTACTAGTGGGTCAAGGTCCTGGGCTTCCAATTAACTAGACAGGCAGGTGGCATGGCATTCCTCTTTCCCCGCCGCACAAACATTTAAGAAAGCAGGAGTGTAAATGCCATGAATATTTTACCAGCTGCTCCCTGGATTCCTTCAACTCATTTCTATCCCGAGTTGTTTTCATATTACCGTCAGAGAGAGACGGGTGAGTTGTCAAAAGCTTATTAAGTCATTTGCTGCTTTCTCTCGCAACAGGATTTTCTTTTTTTTTAAAAAAAGTTTCTAAACTGCATAGTGTTGTATTTCTTTTTCTACAGAAGGTAAAATATATAAGTGCATAAAGTCAATTAAATAAAATTAGCTTAGAAGCAATTCAAAAAAATGCCATATTTTATGCTGCATGAACTGAATGGGTAGATTTGGGTAAGTGTATCTCCTGACATTGCTTTCTACTGCTCTTAACAAGTGCCGGAAAGAAGTTGATATATTGGCCATGCTTGGCTGCATTCAGAGCTCTAGAAACTTACAGTAGCCTCTGCCAATCTGTTGCCCCACAGAGGTTTTGCACTACAACTCCCAGCGGTGGCTGGGGCTGATGGGAACTGTAGTCAAGAACATCTGCAGGGTACCAGATTGGCAAAGGTGAGTTCAGGGGAATAGCTGGAAATCAGAAATCAGTTGTACTATGTTAAACAGGGTTTTCTCTTTATGAATGCAGCCTCAGCATCAAACACTGTTGAAGAGCTTTGGTGGCACCTTTTGCCATAATAAATGTATTGGTCTTAGGGTGCTGTGGGACACTTCTTTTCACTGGAAGAAACGTGGCCACCCTTCTGGAAATCTGTAGAATCTGAAATGCATCAGGACTCTGCAATTTGCAACATAGAAGTGCTACATATATGATTTCTTTCTACATTCAGAATTGGCATGCTCCAACCTCTTTTGCAGAAACAGCTTTAGGCCAGTTTCCCAGTGGGAAAGAGTTCTAGCTTACTGGTAGAGTGCCTGTTGCACCTGCAAAAGGCCCCTTGCAGATTCCATATCCAGGTTGGGTCTGAAACGACACTTGTCTGCACTCAAGGAGAGCCACTGCCAATCAGTGTAAACCAGGAGTAACCCTCCATTTGGTGAACGGTCAACCTGGACTTGCATGACCAGTGATCAGGGATGATGGCTATTGCGGTACAATATGCGTTTGACCAAACTGCGGGAGGCAGTGGAAGACAGGAGTGCCTGGAGTGCCCTGGTCCATGGGGTCACAAAGAATAGGACACGACTAAACGACTAAAGAACAACAACATCTGGAGAGTAGCCTGCTAGTTGCCCACAATATTGACAGTACTGAGCCAGGTGGATCAATAGTCTTGACTTGATATCCATTCTTTTCTTATGCTCCTAGCCCTGACTCATTCTGATCTAGCTTCAAATATTGCTCAGCTTGGTGCTATTGGGCATCCCTGTGCGCTTTCCATTGAAATTAATAACAAGAGCCTGCCAAGTCGGGCCAAGGGCCCATCTAATCCATCATTCAGCTCTCACAGCAGCTAGCCAGGTGCCTAGGGGCAGCCTGCAAGCAGGACCTGAGCACAACAGCCCTCTCTCCACTTGTAACTCCAAGCAACTCCTATTTACGACTCTGGCAGTGGGAGTCTAGCCATTAGGCCTAGCAGGCACTGTTAAACTTAATGTCCACGAATTCACCTAATTCTCTTTCAAAACCATCCGTGTTGGTGGCCGTCGTTGCCTCTTACGGGAGAGATTTTCACAGTTTTAACTGTGCTGTTAGTTTCTTTTGCCTGTCCAACGTTCAGCTTCATTGGTTAGCGCTGAGTTCTAATATTATGAGATGTGGGGGAACCATAGAGTTGAAAGAGACCCTGAGGATCATCTGGTCCAACCCCCTGAAATGCAGAAATATGCAGTTGTCAAATATGGGGATTGAACCTGCAACCTTGGTGTTATCAGCACCACGCTCTAACCAACTGAGCTATCCAGGCCCTCCAGACCTTTCCCACTTTCTCTATGCCTGCATAATTTTACGTAACTCTACCATATTCTCTCTTACCTTTTCCCTAAACTGAAAAGCTGCAGACACCAAATCCCATTTATTACAACTGGGTTGGTGCAAAATCTATTTGTCTTCCCTTCTAGGATCTCTTCACACCGCACCTTATCTTTCTCTCCGCTCACCACTGTATCCCAGTGGCCTCTTCCATGATGACACAGCTTGCCCTTCTGCCTCCCTGCAACTCCTCTCCCACGTGGGTCAAGTGACCTAGATTGGGAAACTCTTGGCACTGAAGCTGCCCTAACCTCTCAACCTCTTGGTGGAGGCAGCTGTTGTAGGTTTAGGCGGCTATTCTGCTGAGGCCAGCAAAAGAGCCTCCACATGGTCGGGAGTGCAGGCATGCTGCCCAGTCAGTACCTATTGACAAAGGGGCCTCTGAGGGTCTTTGTGTTCCTGCAGGGACAGCTGCCTGAATGCCTGCCCATCCCTCCTCCTTGCTCTCCCCCCAGTGCACCCCTTTGCTGATCGGAACAAAATCCCTGCCCCAGGCGCTTGAGCTCCCTAGAATTCCTCAGTTAATGCGGCATAATTGCTACCAGACCTGCACAGGGCTGGAAATGCTGCAGGAAGATTGGAACCAGACTCTGGGGCAGGGGAAGCTCCCTTGGGCAGACAGCGTGCAGGGCAGTGCCCAGCTAACCTGGGTCAAAGTGCGGGTTGAGTCTCCAGGGGTTCCAGAGGAGCTCATTCCAGATCGGTCCCAAAGCCATGAAAACTAGACAGAGAGTCACCCTCTTCAGATCCATCCCATTACTTTGGCCGAGTGAGGTGTCCATTTCCTTTTGCCCAGGGAACCCTCTAATCATAGGAAAGGATCATTTGTAGGCTCCTGTGGGGGCAGTTTTCCTGCCTCGACCTAGCAGAAGAAGCTTGCAAAGTTTACTCAGCACATTCCATGCTGGAGAGGAAAAGTGTGGCGTCCTTGTGAATCGGCAATGATACTTGCACTCAACCAGGAACTTCTTATAAACCATTGGCCTTTTGGGATGGGGCTGATGGAAGATGGAGCCTCATGACACTGAGAGGGCTACAGAGCCCCATCCTTGTTTCATAATTTCAAATTTAATCCACCCTAAATGGGACGCGGGTGGCACTGTGGGTTAAACCACTGAGCCTAGGGCTTGCCAATCAGAAGGTTGGCGGTTCAAATCCCTGCAACGGGGTGAGCTCCCATTGCTCGGTCCCTGCTCCTGCCAACCTAGCAGTTCGAAAGCACGTCAAAGTGCAAGTAGATAAATAGGTACCGCTCCAGCGGGAAGGTAAACGGTGTTTCCGTGCACTGCTCTGGTTCGCCAGAAGCGGCTTAGTCATGCTGGCCACATGACCCGGAAGCTGTATGCCGGCTCTCCCAGCCAATAAAGCAAGAAGAGCACCGCAACCCCAGAGTCGGCCACGACTGGACCTAATGGTCAGGGGTCCCTTTACCTTTATGCCTAAACTGCTTGCATGTGAGTATTGAAAGAGGACCCAAAAAAAATGACCCAAAGAGCTAATATATTTACTTCAATTACTTTATTGGTTTAAGTGGGGCCCGCTGTTAATTGTAACAATTAAAAAAACCTGCAAGGCATTTGGGGCAACATGATGCAAATTATTCTAAAGGCAGTGGCAGTATGGCTGCCTCCCCAGCAGAATGAAGCAGCAGCCTTTGGCCAACTACAATGGCGTCTCGCAGGCTGAGAGTCCTTCACCATGAGACGGAGACTTCCGTGCCTGTGTACACTGGCCCAGTCTATGCCAGATCTTTGATCTGCATTTCTTGCTGACGTGCCTGAGGGTGCAGACACCCTCTGGGCTCTGGAGAAACTGAGCAACAGCTGGAATGGGTTGTTCTGTGCTGGACATCATGAATATCCTGGGATTTAGGCTGTACACTTTACACTGGAGCCCACATGCTGAGGACTCCATGACGACACCGACTAGAAGGGAGGTTAAGTCCATTTACAAAGCTCGGTGGCTATCTTCTTGATATGCCCACAGGCACTTGGAGCAGAAGCAAGCGGGGAGGTCTCTAGTTTCCCTCCCCCAGCCCCTATAAGCAGGGATGAAGAAACTGCAGCCCTCCAGCAGTTGCTGCACTACAACTCCCATCATCCTTGGCCATTGTCCATGCTGGCTGCAGCTGATGGGAGCTGGAGTCCAACATCATGATGAGGGTCACCTGTTGCCCATTCCTACCCTACAGAGAAGCCTTTCCCAACCACGGGTTCCCAGGCGGTCTCAGACTACAACTCCCATTATCCCTGACCACTGGGCATGCTGGCTAGGAATGATGGGAGTTGTAGTCCAACAACATCTTGGAACCCAAGGTTGAGAAAGGCTTCTAGAGAGGAACCAAAAATCTCTTCGGTAAAGGGCGTCTCCCTTAACCAAGTGCTTGGAGCCAGGAGGACACTGTGGTGCAGCTGGCATCTAAAAAAAGCAACCCAAAATGAAGGGAAACCCTGTTTACATTAAAAGAGGTGACATGGCCTTTGAAAGTCTCCCCAGTACAGGAATATCCCGCTATCGCAGATGCCTGGTGCAACGTTATCCTCCAAGGGCCTTGTCAAGCATTTGCCGCCTCAAGGACAGTCGCTCTTCACATCGACACAAATACCTTTGTAGAAGCATTTCCCTTGGCATGTGGTCAAAAATGTCACAGTGCTGACTCTGTCCCTCTGTGCGTGCACACATGTGCCGTTTGCGATTTTTTATTGTTCAAAACAACTCAGGTGTGTCATTGTTTCAAGGTAGGAATGAGTCTCTCCGTTCAGCAGGCTGGCTGGCGGGCACAGCTGCCTGCCGCGGGGAGACAAGATGGAGTCAGCACAGGATGAAAGTTCCTTAGGAAGCCTCTTAAGCAGGCAGGTTTGGTTCCAGCTGTAGAGTACTCTCCCTGAGGGGAACAAATCCCACTGGAAACTCAACCGGGAAAAGGGCTAGGATGTATGAAAGGGATTAAGTGTGCCTTGGTTGGTCATCTAGTCTTAGCATGCCCAGCCTAAGGCTCCAAGCGGAATCCACTGCCAGCTTGGTGGCTGGCGATGAGACAGTCCCCTTCTGTCTGCACATTCATAGTTTATGATTTTGTTAGCATTGCTAAACCTTCCCATTCTCTCTCTCTCTCTCTCTCTCTCACACACACACACACACACACCACAAGTGCAAAACCACCAAGACATCCATGGAAAGGAATAACTTCCATTTACATGTTTGTGTGTCCCACTTAGCACATCAGCATAGGCATCAGAAAGGGACACTGCTTTTATCTAGTGATATCAAAGGTTAATGGAAGTTCAGCCAGCATTTCAGGAGGAACAAGGCAGGGATTGGGATCCACGAAGTCTGTCCATGACGCCTTATTGCAGCATCCAGTCCCTGACTTATTTCTCCTTCGTTTTCTGGAGAAGCGCAGTCAGGGGTCGTAGAGGCGCAAGGACTGCTTTGTGACTTGAAGGCCGATCAGGATTAAAAGGGTTGTGTCTTATCTCTGGTTTTAATTTTGCATTTGGTGAAAGGCTCCCTCTGGAATCCAGTGACACAGTTGCAGCAGTACATCTGTCTGGTTGGAGAATAAAAGAACAAGTCTCCACAACACCCCGCCTCCAGATTATCTTGCCGTGCCGATGTTCCTGTACTGACACATGAGAAGGTGCTTAAAGGTTTTCTTGAAGGTGGCGTTGCAAAGAGCGTAACAAGCTGGGTTGATGGTACTGTTGACATAGCACAGCCAGTACCCGATGTACCAGACCGTGTCAGGGACACAATAATCGCAGAAGGTATTAATGAGGACCATCACATTGTAAGGCGTCCATGTCAGGATGAAGGCCAGTAAGATGGCAAAGATGGTTCTGGTGACTTTCTTCTCCCGGGCTGCCATTTGACGCTTCTTCCTGACCTGACTCCTGGCAATGCTAGCAAATTTCCTGGCAACATTCGCTGGACGGCTGTTGGACAAGGTGATTGGAGTGGAGCTGGCTTCTTTGTCTGGGACAATCTCAATGGCGGTGACACATTCAGTTCCGGTTTGCTTTGTGACAATCTTAATTTTGGACCACTTGGAGGCAGGGTTAAGCCGTGTCGGGGCTGGACTCTGCCCTTGATCAGCCGGTGCAATTTCCAGCACTGGCTTCTCTTTGTTGGTCTGGGTGATGCTCACCGTGCTGGATTCATTGGATGTCTCCTTCTCCTCTTGGTGGCCAGTGGTCTCTGACTGCTGTAAGGGCTGCTCTTCTACTTTCCCATTTTTTGCCTCCTCCTTCACCTCCACCGCTTTCTTCGGAGAGTTGTTGTTATTCTGCTTGACCAGAGGGCTCTTCAGGAAGCCGAGTGACTTGGACTTCTTCTCCTTCTTGCTCTCAGGCTTGTGTCTTCTGATGCGGCTCCGGCTGGCCAGCGAAATGTGGATGTAGAGCACAGTCATGATGACCACAGGGAGGTAGAAAGCCGCGATGGCTGTGCCAAAGGTCACCGCCGGGTTGGAGAGGAACTGGATGTAACACTGCTCTTTCTCAACTGTCCTCTCCCCAACAATGAACTGCCAAAACAAGATGGCGGGTGCCCAGAGGATAAAGGACAATATCCAAGCGACTGCAATCATCAGCCCGGCCATTTTGGTTGTCCGCCTGGCTGGGTAGGTCAGGGGCTTGGTGACACAGAAGTAGCGGTCAAAACTGATGATGAGCAAGTTCATGACAGAGGCGTTGCTCACCACGTAGTCCAGAGCCAGCCAGAGGTCACAGACCACAGCCCCTAGTGGCCAATAGCCCTTGATGATGTAGACTGTGTAGAGGTTCATGGAAAAGACTCCAATTATCAGGTCAGCACAGGCCAGGCTGAAGAGGAAGTAGTTGTTGACAGTCTGAAGCTGGCGGTTCACTTTGATGGACAGCATGACCAAGATATTCCCTACCACGGTGACGAGGCTAAGCGACCCCGTGACAGTGGCTATGAAGACCATCTCCACCGTCTTATACTTGGGGGTGTCCTCCTTTGTGAAGTTGTCATTGGTTAAGTTGGGCATCTTTATCAGCTGAGAAGACAAGTTGTATGCAGAATCTGCAGAAAGAGAGGCAGGGAGAGAAAGACATTGAAGAAATATTATGCATCTGCAACACTTGGTCAGGAATGTCAGTGTGGTGCAAGCCTTAAAGGGTCAGATGAGAACTGGGGAGACCCAGGCTCAGATCCCCATGCAGTAATGAAGCTCACACCTTGGTCCTGTTGACTAGTCCAGGCATTAAGACGTGGAACAATACCTTGTTGAAAGGTATCTGTGCACTTCCATCTCCTAGACTTGGTCTGTGTTTGAAGCACATGACTTCCCCCTTCCCAAATCCTGGGAACTGTAGTTTGTTAAGGCTGCTGGGAACTGTAGCACTGTGGGGGCTAGTTCCTGGGATTTTTTGGGTGATGCCATGGGCTTTAAAGGTCTAGTGTGAATGCAGCCTCAGAAAACATTTCAACCTGGCCAGCCTACCCAGCAACAGCTAAAGCAAACCTGAACGTTACTACCAGGAAGTTGTAGGAGGGCGCTAAGCAGACTGGGAAAGAAGCCAGTGTCCTGTTCCACCCCTGGACGGATTGTCAGCTCAGCCAGAACAGCCGTGTCTCTTCAAAGCCCAGCATTTTCCCAGGCCTGTGTTATCTTTAACCCATGTCTGAAAAATCCTTCTGTACTGTTTCCATCTGCCCCCAAATCTCTCCGGCCCTCTCCAAGGGAGCTATTTATGGCAGCAGCTTGCCTGGTGGAGTGGGGCAGCCTCAGAAGGAGCTCACAACCTTTTCCAAATTATTTCATGAGTTTATGTAGATGCACGGAGCTCCAGAGAAAACAAGTGAGATTGGGGAGGGGGGTTGTGACCATCTAATAGGCCTGTGGATCCTGCATTCTGTAAGGTTTTGCTGAGGGGAGCCCACCCTCTGCTGGATATTCTTGGTATTGTATTGTGCAAGTTGGATAAATGTTGCTGTTTGCCTGTGATACAGCATTTGGCTTAGCTTGCAGTAGAATGTGGGCCACCGTAGCCACTTAAAATGAGTCAGTTTCCCTAAATTGTGTGCAGACAGTCTGTCAGGGCTTGTGGAATGCCCTATGGGACCCGTGGGATTTTACTGGTACTTTCAGCATGGCTGCAAATGCTTTTGGGGAGCAATTGCCTAGATTTCCTACAGAGGCGGTTTTAAGGTGGAGCGACCGGTGCAGTCACAGTGGGAGCCACAATGCAGAGGCACGAAAACAATGCAGCAGGGTGGAGCGTGAGAGGCAGGGGGATCTGAATTTCAACATCACATAGGGCACTGCTGAAATTTGTGAGCCCAAAGTCCACCACTGTTTCTTTGCACTGTCGTGCCCAGTGTACCACATTACACCATTCCTGGCTTAAGATGGAAGCACACTTGTGCAAATCCTTTTTCTCCTTCCTGTCGTATCGAACGCACTGTGGACTGCATTAGGGCTGCCATATGTCCAGAATTTCCAAGACATATCCAGAATAGTCGGCAGCAGTGGCCGGGCGGAAATAAGCCCCCCCCCCCAAAAAAGTCCAGGAAAATCCAGACATTTAGCAGCCCGTGCTGATTTTCCATAAAAATAGCTCCAAAACGGCATATTCTGTTTTGCAATTTTGCCAAAAAAAGCTCAACAACTTATTAATCTGGGGGTCCCTTTCAAATGTTCAGTTGCCCCAGGGGGCAGAGTGTCTGCATTTTCTTCCAGTCTTCCTAGGAATAAAAGAATCATAGAGTTGGAAGGGACCCCAAGGGTCATTCCTAGTCGAACCCCCTGCAATTTAGGAATCTTTGATAAGGAAGGCACAAATTCCTCCTCACGGAGGGTTTGGGAATCTGTGATTGCAGCTGTTGGTAGGCTGCCCCTGTCAGCATGGTCAATGGGCAGGTCTGATGGCAGTTATAGTCCAAAAACATGGGGGAGGGGCACCAGGTTGGGAAAAGTTGCTTCATATCAATGTTCTGATATTTACTCAGAATGAAGTCACACTGGTTTCAATATTGTTTCCGTCCATAGTTTATGTGCAAAAATGTAATGAAAATAAATATTACAAAAATAAGGCTTGCATACAAATGTTTAGGACTGCAGCCTTAATTCTAATTTAAGATTCTATTTTCATTATCATTTGTCTTCCCCAGGTGCTTCTAAAATTCAAGAGAACAAGAGAACAATAAGAGGAAGCCTCCTTGATCTGTCTCTGAGAAGTAGGATCTGAGTGGGTAGAAAGGATTGCTTTTAGCAGTGGCATAACAGAACATACAGCTCAACGGGGGTGGGGGGATTTCTGAGCATAGCGATGCAGCGATGGAAAGTTTTACCTGTTGAATTTCTGCATGTCATGCAGCTCTTAAAGACGTAGGGATGTTGGCAGAAAAAAGGGAGCAAGCAATCACAGGTACCAGGTTGCCTCAGAGGTCTCTTGACAAATAGTTCAGTAAAATAATCCAGATCGCTCAAGTAAGTGACTCATAAGTCAGGCTAGTGAAGCAAGTGAGAATAATATTAATATTCCCTGTTCAGAGAGCGAGAAGGAGGCAACTCTGAGGTGAAAAGGGCAGCGGGGGGTGGGGAGCAAAATGGCGATGAAACAAATACTGTATTGAAAGGATGGGTGAAATCTACCTCTAGACAAGGTTACATCTATTTACTCTAAATTCAGCTGGGACTGAATGAGTTATTATTGTTATTCTTGACTAAATTTAAATGGCTGCCTATCAATAAACCTCCTCTGGTAGCTTACAAAACGCATGAAAAACCAAATTTCATACTACGTTTATAAATACAAAGTTCACTAAGTAAAACAACCAAAATCAGGAGCAATTGGTGCAATGCAGCGACAGGTCTTTCATTTGCCCTCGCTGATTAAAATTGGCACCCACCAGTTAATCAGTCGAAGTTTTAGTTTGTTAATCTACCAATTGAACCAATTAAACCCTGCAGTCCTAGCTGAAAAACTCTCGCCCGATCAGAAAAGCAATTTGACTATTCCATCACATACATGAACAAGCCTTTGCAAGATAATTCCTAACTTTTGACAGGGGGGGGAGGCGGAGGGAGAGAGAGAGAGAGTCTCTGAGACAGGCTGTGTCACTTCACTGCCTAGAAGTGGCTGCCGTTTCTAGGTCAGCTTCTCAGCCTGAAGCTACCAATTATCTCCTCCGGCCCTGGCCAGGTTCTGCAGATTTTAATAGGACAATGAAATCCTTGCTCTGTAAACCGGCAGCTCCCCCATTTCCACAAGCTCCTCCAGAGATGGCTTCAGTGTATCATCCTTGCACAATCCCCATGTGATGGGAAACAGTTCTGACAGCCTGAGGCTGTTTCCTTCTCTCTCCTCAACCTCCCAAGCCACCCAAGGCCCCGTAGCTGGAATAAATGAAGGATGAACTCCACTCGGAGGCAGCCTGAGAGAAAGCTGGTGAAACAGAGCCATATCCCCAGTTAAGTTTTTCCGCACAGTGAGATTAGGATGGAGAAGATGTTGTGGATGAGACCAGGCTGTGTGGGCAATAATAAAACATTAGCAAATCCTTTCTACTTATTAGCCTGGTTTAATAAGACAAGGTCTTATGAAGTCAGAACAGAACTGAACAATATATATAGGAAAACTCCCAGTGGAAATATCCTGTTTTGTGACAAGAATGTTTCAGTTACAAAACAGCTTATTATACTTGGGCAGTGGAAAGCTAGATTTGAATCTGCCAAAAAGCCGACAGAATGCCTTTAAGCTAAGTCACTACAGCGGTACCTCGGGTTAAGTACTTAATTCGTTCCGGAGGTCCATACTTAACCTGAAACTGTTCTTAAGCTGAAGCACTACTTTAGCTAATGGGGCCTCCTGCTGCTGCTGCGCCACCGGAGCACGATTTCTGTTCTCATCCTGAAGCAAAGTTCTTAACCTGAAGCACTATTTCTGGGTTAGCGGAGTCTGTAACCTGAAGCGTATGTAACCTGAAGCATATGTAACCCGAGGTACCACTGTATCTCTAGGCCTAGATGAACTCGCAAGGCTGTTAAGAGGATAAAATGAGCACTTTGAAATAGGACTGGGTAGAAATATGAAGGAGAGAGGGAGCAAGGAGATCATGGGAATTTGGTTTGTTGACAAATTTCTAGCTGCAGAATCTAATTTTGGTTGAGATGGAGGCTAGATTGTTTTCTTCTTATGCCAAAGGTAGAAGCAGTGAAAGTATTGGGAGAAATGTAAGTCAGCAAGCCAACTTTTGTGGAAAGCCCCTTTTTCATCAGAATCAACTGGAATTCAGATGCAGTTTCTTTTTACTTTTCGAGTAATGGCTTCTTCATGCCATATGGGCTGGGTTGCACATAATGCCAAACCATAATTAAAACAAACTGAGCTTCATAATCCGACAACAGGCAATGAACAAACCATAGCTAAGCTGCTGTGGTTTGGATGCTCAAATAAACCATGGCTTAATGCACTATATAATACACTACAGTTTAACAAACCATTGCTTAGCATTATGTGCAAACCAAGCCAGTGGGACTGGCTTCTGAGTCTTAGCCTTGCATGGCACAAAGTGAGCATTCTGGTCAGCTGAAATAAAACATCAACAAATCAGTTTCTCCCTCTTCTCTCTCACGTGTGCGTCTTCTGTTTGTGACATTTCCCTAACCCTGACCATTTCCCTTTGCCCCCAGTGTCATTCATCCCCTTTCTTGTGTCTCTTTCCCCTGTTTACTGCTGTCTGGCATATCTGTAGAGTGCAAGGGCCCAGGAGAAATTGCAGATCTGACGCAATGATGTTTTGAAAAAGGTTCTCTGGGCATGATAACCATTGGGAGCGATAAAGATAGATGCCAATTGGATTTGCTCCTTGCCACTCTTCTGGAGAGGTCAGCAGATGGCTTTGCAGACACACTTTGACCAGTAATCTGGGACAAACTCAATTTCTGTCCTCCTCATCCCCTACCTCCCACCTTTGTGTTTTACAGATGGTTTGGCTTCCTCTATGGTTGTGTTCACACTGCTCTTTACTCTGCCTCCACCTTATCTAGCCTGTCATTTCTTACGAAATTCTAAGTT